GAGAGAAGGTTAACCGACCCCCCAATTTTCACCGTCATTTATAAGAAAACCAAAGGGCCATTTTAACCATACTTTACACCAATCTGTAGAGTGCACTTCTTACTAACATATTGTAAAAAAAAAAACCGAAAAAAATAAAAATAAAAACATATAAAACAGCAAGCCAAAATCTTACTAATATATTGTAGAAAAATAAAAATAAAAATAAAAATAAAAACATATAAAACAGCAAGCCAAAATCTTACTAACATATTGTAAAAAAAAAAACGAAAAAAATAAATAAAAACATATAAAACAGCAAGCCAAAATGACAGTCATGGGTGTACCAACTGAGCTCAACTGAGCTGGCCCCCAGTGATGTGTGTGCGCCCCTTTTCCCAGCCTTGCCTTCCCTCTCTCCCTCTCTACCCTTTTTTTTTTTCCTTTTTTCTGTCTTTCAACCTCCGTTGACATTCAGTAAAATAAGGATGCTACAATAACAAATTTGCTGAATTTGGACATAATTGCGGTCAGATACTTCCAGGAGTCCTCGTGCGAGTATGCCCTTCCGTAACGTCCGAGTCCTTTTTCAACGGGTTGCCGTGCGCCGCTCACTCCCTGCCCTCGCGCCGTTTTTTCCAAAAATGGCAAGTGCAGAGGCAAAGGGATCGCTCGGCACGAGCAGGTTGAAGAGAGAGAGAGAGAGTCCTAACAAGCTTCTTTTTTTTTTTTTTTTTTTTTTTTTTTTAATTGGGTTCAAGCCCTTCAATTATAACAGTTCAAAAACCGAGGCCGGGGCTAACGGGCCTTTGAGGGGTGAGGGGGCTTTGGAGGGCCTCGGATAAGAAAATGAGCATGGATTTTTTTTTTTTTTTTGGGATGAGCATGGATTTTCAGAATAAGGAAACTTTTAAGGCAGATACTCGACTTGGGGCCCAAGTGCCACTACAGTCTTCCCCCGAATACAACGCACGGTCATTATAGCTGTATTTGAGGCATCTTTCAGTCTAGATACAGCTATAATGACCGTACGTTGTATTCGGGGGAAGACTGTAGCAGCGTTGAATTACCTCAACGCCTGAATGTGGACGAGTTTTTGGAGATGTGCAGAAATGGTGTTGAGTTTCCTCAACTGCACATCTCCACAAACACGTCCAGATTCAGGCGTTGAGGAAACTCAACGGCTGCTGGTGGGACTTGGCCCCGGGTTGTACTGATCGTAAGTCGGGGTCGCTCGCCTGTCACGAGTCGTCAGGGAAAAATAGGAAAAGAAGAATTCAAAAAAAAAAAAATTGAAGAAGTTTTGACGTGATAATTTCATAATAAAGTGTTTGGTTTTGTTTTAAAAAACCTTGACCTTGAGTGGACGGTCGACATTCTTAGCTGCCAGAGTGGCGTCGTGACAGTGCCGAAAGGATGAAAATTAAATTTTAAAATTGAAAATCAAAATTAAAAACTGACCGGGGGATATTTTCTTCCGTCCTGTCTTTTTGTTTGCAAAGAGAATTATTGAGATTGTACCTGACCGGAAACCTGCCTCCAAAAAAAAAAAAAAAAAAAAAAAAAACCACTAGCACAGAGGATTGGATTGAACGCCTGAACCTAGACGTGTTCGCGAAATAGTTTAGAAAATCGAGATTGAACTGCTTTTCTGCATCTCTGCGTAAGACACATCCAGATTCAGGAGCTTTATCAAATCCTCTTTGCTGGTGGTACCTCGCCCCTGGCGATGCCCACTCGGTTCACTAATTTTTTTTTTTTTTTTTTTTTTTTTATTAACATCATCTGGATTATGCATCACTAAAATTTCTGAGTCAGATAGAGAAATGGTAAAATTTATGGTTCTAAAAGATAAAAAAGGGTGACTTGAGAGATCGAACCTTAGCTCTTTTTTTTTTTTTTCTCTTTTTTTTGTTTTTTTTTTGCACTGGTGAATAAAGAGGGGGAGAACGCCTTATCGTCGGATCCCTGGGTCGAGGTTCCGCAAGCAAAGAGGGTTGGATTTAGCACCTGAATGTGGACGTGAATTGCCGCCAGGTGCAGAAAATCGCCATTGATCCGAATAGGGGGTGCTTTATCCAGTACTCTTTGGTAGCGGGAACACGCCCTGGTAGAACCCCCGAAAAAGGGGCCATAAAAAAAAACAAAAAAAACAAAAAAAACCCACCGGGCCTATCTCAGCTGGTACACCAATGAACTATTGAAAAACGAACCCGCTTTCGAATCCAGATGAACATAATTTTTTTTTCTTTTTTCTTTCTATATTCTTTTCTCAACTTCTGTTTTTGCCTTTTCACTACCTACTCCTAAGGCTATCTAAAGGGGACCCCTGCAAGCGTAGTTTCCTCTCACTGTGAAGGAGAGATTTCATGTTGCCCCTTGCCCCTAATGTTTAGGGTATAGGGTTGGGGCCGCCAGTGGGGGTCTGGCTAACACAAAGACCGAGACCTGCCAGTAGCTGCGCCTCCCTTTCTCATCGTCCCCCACCGCTCATCCAGTAGCAGCAGTAGCTATGGCCAGCGCTCTCCCACACACCACACACAACCCACTCGCGCTCGCACTCACACCCATGTTGGTCATAGATTCCACTAATACCGATCAGGAGTATCCAGAGGACTATCCCAATTCGTTGGCACTAAGTAATATATCAATAAATGACAATAACATAATAATTCTGAATTACCTGGGCCCGGTCAGTTTAATGATGATATATTATTAAGTACTTCCTACATCGGGGGGAGAGTTCCCAGTCGCAAAGAGGATTGGACTTAACGTCTGAATGTGGACGTGTCTGCGGAGAGGTGCAGAAAATCACGTGTGGTCTCCTTTTCTGCATGTCCGCAATGGACACGTCCAGATTCAGATGTTTCAACCCATGCTCTTTGCTAGTGGGATCTCCTCCCTGGGGCCCAAGTCTCACTAGCAGCACTGAGCTTCCTCAATGCCTGAATCTGGTCGTGTTTGTTGGAGATGTGCAGAAATGGCGTTGAGTTTCCTCAACCGCACATCTCCACAAAGACGTCCAGATTCAGGCGTCGAGGAAACTCAACGCTGCTAGCGGGACTTGGCCTCGGGTTGTTTGTGAGGATTCCCAACCTCACGGTTCTTCATTTGATAATGAAAAGTCGAAAAAAAAAAAAAAAAACCCGATGCTGTAATGAGCCCAGTCTCGTCAAACAATCGTGTCTTCAGATAGCAATGTCGTGAGATAACACTGTTTTTTTTTTTTTTTTTTTTTTTTTTGTCGTGCAATGTCGAGATAATCATGTCTTCATGTCATCAATTCGAAGTCATTAAAGTACTACATGATCCTTCATAACCACGTGTGAAGTCTCCAAATCAAGAGTATCCAGACTAGAACAGAACAGAGAGGGGGAAGAAAAGACAGATGGAAGGAGAAGAATATCATAGCAATCAAGTCCCTCTTCTCCTCCAGACTTCCCCACCTCTGCCACGTCAGCAATCTGTACACAGTATGACACGTGGACGATGTAAACGCAGTTCCTCTCAGACGTCGAGTGATCCTTCAGCAGCGAGCAGAATCAGCAGCAGCATCACATCAGGTGAGACCAGGTGCGCACACGCGACATCACATATCGCCCACTCTCTCTCTCTCTCTCTCTCTCTCTCTCTCTCTCTCTCTCTCTCTCTCTCT